GAGCAGCCAGAGGCTAAAAATGAGTTCGAAGTGATCCCGGGAGGACAAAGAAAGTTTCAATAATCTCTATTTCATAGCAGAAAGGTGCATCATTTTAAATAATTCACTTGGATCTTAGGCTTTATCATTTGAAAGTCCACTTGTATTAATGCCGTGTATAGGCAAAAAAAAAAAAAGTCATTGACTATATGCTATTAAATGAAATGAATTCATGTTTTGGCAGAAAATTCATCAATGAGTAATGCATGTACTCCATGGTACTTTTCTGGGGTACTCCTCCTTGAGACCCTAGTTCCTGGGCCCCAAACTTCATCTGTTCCGGTTCCACTGTCAACCACAATCCCACCCTGCCCTTCCAAGTCCTGCCCGGTGCCTGGCATTTAGTGGGCACTCAACAAATATTTAGAGAATTGAGCCAAATTGACTTCCTGAATGCAAGTCAGTTCTACAGGTTTTCAACAGACAGTATTTTCCTTGTGGACAAGCTAGGAGTCAGTCAGTCATGTTTGAGAGCTCTATAAACCTAGACCACTTGTAAGAAAAGATTAACACCACACCCTGATGTGCCAATTTGTGTCCTCGGGGAATATAGAAACAGTCAGGACTAAAGATGAGGTATAGGATTAACATTGTCAATTTTTTTAACTTTGTCAATTTTTAAACATCTGTACTGACATATCATCCATATAACATAATAATCGCCTTCCTCGAGTGTATAGTTTGATGACATTTATTAAACTTCTGTAGATATAAAGCAATGCCAGTTTTTTAACACTTGTATCCTACAAAATGGTCCTCATGACTTTATTTTCTTTGCCCTTTGGAGCTGGTGCCCCATTAAACCAAAACAATCTCTTTAAATTCTCAGGTTTACTATAGAGTCTATGAGGTATCCACCATGTTCAAATGTTCAATAAATATGGGAAGATAATGCCAAAGACAGCATTGTTTATATTTCTAGCTAGAAATTTCATTCTGAGTTTGTAAAAAAATACAGATATTCTAACTCAAGAGTTGAATGTGTGCATCAGGGTTAATTAGCAATGCTTCAGATTATAGACCACTGATGTTTCTTGTACAACCAACCATCAATTAACTATGCTAATGAGAAAAGCAGGAAAAAATGAAATCAGCAGGGATGAAAAAGAAAAGCAACGCATTGTAGACCCAGTCTCAGCCACCAGTCAAAACTTACCAGAGAGACTTAGAAGTACAAATTCTAAGAAGTTTTTTCCTTTTCTATATTGTCCTTTAGAGAAGCTATGTCCAAATAACAAAATGACCAAAATATACAATAGCCAAAGGGCTAGTCAGTGGTTCGAATATAATTCCTAGGGGAGCTTTAAAAAAAAATCAGTGCGGGGCGCCTAGGTGGTTCAGTTGGTTGAGTGTCTGCCTTTGGCTCAGGTCATGATCTCAGGGTCCTGGGATCGAGCCCCGCATCAGGGAGCCTGCTTCTCCCTCTGCCCCTGCCCCTCTCCTTGCTTGTGTGCTCTCTCTCTGACAAATAAATAAATAAAATATTAAAAAAAAAAATCAGTGCAGAGTCCTCATTCCAGACAATTTAAATTAAAATCTCTGTGGAAGGGGCTACAATAATCCATTAATTGCATAATTTGTTTTAGGTTGATTCTATCTACTTTGTATTTGCTTTCCTCTGAGTTTTCTGGTTGGACAGTGAGGGTCTCAGGTAATCACCTCTGGTTCTTCTACTCCCACTCCCCTCACTCCACTTCCAGGTAGGAGAACCTCGGCGGTGAGACAGTCTTCTAGGTGATTCCTGCTGATTCAGTATTTTATTTTATTTTATTTTTTAAGGGTTTTTCTTTTTTCTTTTTTTTTAAGATTTTAGTTATTTATTTGACACCGAGAGAGAGACAGCTAGAGAGGGAACACAAGCAGCGGGAGAGGGAGAAGCAGGCTCCTGGCTGAGCAGGAACCCTGATGCAGGGCTCAATCCCAGGATCCTGGGATCATGACCTGAGCCGAAGGCAGATGCTTAACAACTGAGTCACCCAGGCGCCCCGATTCAGTATTTTAAAATACTTTCTCAATGGCTCTCTTCTTTGTCAAGAGTTGGGGTGGTTTTCCCCCAAGGAAATCTCTACTTGAGAGAATACAAGGTACCTGAACATTATCTACCTCGTGTCACGATAGAAGAAAATGAAAAATTATCACCTGAAAATTACAATTCCCCACTGAGCTCCACGTGCCAGGCTCCTGGAAAGTGTTTCCAGTGAATTCCATGTGTTCCCCAGCTCCAAGAAGAACAGCAGTCTTTGTAGCTGTGCTTCTTTCCTCCTTCCCTTAGATTTATAAAAAAGTCTTTAAAGATTTAAAAATTTTTTTTAAAGTTATAATCGTTTGCATTATATGCTTACTGTAGAAAGTTCTAAAGCAGAACTACAAACAGCAGAATTAAAACCACCCATGAGTCTCCCTCTTCCCCATTCCAGAGATAAACATCATTTATATCATTATTGTATATCCTTTCATTTTTTTCTACGTATAGAAACATGTTTTATTTTACAGAATTGGGTCATACTATATGCACACTTCTGTAACGTGCTTTTTTTATAGCTTGCTCTTATATTCTAAGCAGTGTGTGCGTGTGTGTGCGTGTGTGTGCACATTCATGTGAGATCAGGCTTCAAAATCAAGATTTCTGTGTATGCAGCAAAGCCCATCATAGCCATCAATTATTTAAGCACATTAGACCTTGATTATTGCTTCTAACATTTGCCTTATTTTTCCTTTGTCCATTATTTATCAGAAAATAAGACCAGTCACTACCTTGGTGAGTTAATGCAGATTACTCTTCCCGACTGATGTTTGACACTGTACCCATAATTATCCAGGGCCACACATAACTATGGACACCGAGCCACTCACCCTCTCGTCCTGCTATGTTCTCCAATATTTGTACCTAACACCTTCCCCAGAAGTGAGGATTACTCAAAAATCCTGAGGCTTATTTCACCATTGTCTAAATGTCTATATATGGAGATTTATCGTTTCAGTAGCTAACCTACATTGAGTGTTTACTGTGCTAAGAAGTTTCTATGTATTTTTTCATTTTATCTTTATGACAACAATGTAGGAGCGAATGCTTACAACTATCCCCATTTTTACAGGTGAAGAAAATGAGGTTTCCTCTGAGTAATTTGCCTAATATCACAGCTAGTAAGAGGCAAAGCTGGACCCTAAACCCAGAGCTATTTGCTTCTAAACCATTTTTTTCATTATTATTAACCAAAGTCCGTATTTGTTCAAATTTTCTTACTTTTTGCCTAATGTCCTTTTTCTGTTCCAGGATCCTAACCAAGGTACAATATTGCAGTTAATTATGATGTCTTCTTAGACTCCTCTTGGCTATGACAGTTTCTCACTTTCCTTTTTTCTCCACTTTATTTATGTATTTATGTATTTATTTTTGTTTTAAGTTTTCTTTTCTCCACATCATTTAAAAAAAACCACACAGTCCCCTCTTATCCTCTATAAGACCACAACAGTTATAATATTTTGTGCACTCCTATGAGGGACTCTGATCCTCACAGCCGCCGTCCAAAGCAGATATTATAATCCCCATTTTATAGATGAGAAAACAGAGTCTCAGACAGATGAAAACTAATGGCCCAGGTCACAAAGCTAGCAAGTGATGGAGCTGGGAAACCCAACTTAGGACTGTCTGACCAGGGGTGTCATGTTCCTTTTACTACTGCAGTTTAGCATATTTTTTTTTTTTTAAGATTGAGAGTGTATGTGGGGGGTAGGTAGCGGGAATCCCAAGAAGGCTCCACCCAGCATGGTGCCAGAGACGGGGCTCGATCTCACAACCCAGAGATCATGACCTAAGCCAAAATCAAAAGTCAGACCCTTCACTGACTGAACCACCCAGGCGCCCCTATATGGGCTTTTAAAAAATAAATTTGAGTGCTAATGTGAGAGTCAGTGTCATAAAGAAAAATCTATATCTTGTCCAACTCTCTTAATACCCAAGCTCCTTCTATAGATTCCTCAACCAAAAGTTCGAAGCCCATGGTCAGAAGCCATCAGTACTCATCAGTTCCCTATTTCACAAAGTAACCAGTCAAGTTTTGAACAGTTCTGATCATTAGAGTTCTTTGTTCCTCCAAATGATTTTTGTCCTTTGATCTTGGTGAGGCTTTTATGAGCCAAACACAATCATCTACGTCTTCTACCTAAGAGCTCTGCAGTTGGCCACCATGTTTCCCCGCCCACTCTCTTCTCCTGGTAGAACATGGCATGGTTTAGATTTCCCTCAACATGCTGGTACCCTGCGTTAAACCATAGTTCCTTGCAGAATCCCTATTTAGTTGCAAGTCCTTGTGGTGCTTTATAGCATAACAATAAGCATGCTCTAAATACTCAGGGGCCAATAATTGCTGTTGAGGGTCTCCTTGCTTACTGGTAATCTCCCACCACTACCACTAACACCCCTCTCCACCTCACCCCCACCTTCCCCACACACTATTTCTAAGTCATCAGGTCCAAAGGGCCTTAACACGGACACCTCTTCCAACACCTTAATTGCAGGAGCTTTCTCTAGAGGGGCACAAGTTTGGGTGTTCAGTCAAAGGTAAGGGGGAATATTTTCTCTGAGTGTGGCAAACAATTTAAAGGGCAAAGGCAGTTAGCCATGGAGGGCCCAGGACAGCGCCTTTGTCCCCAGTCCCCCACAGCGCCCAGGCAGACGACGGCCCCCCCGTGGGGTGCGCGGGGGCGGAGCGGGGCGGGGACCCGCGCGCCTGCAGGGGGGCGGGCTCCGCGGTCGGGGCTTAGGGACTGTAGCGACGCCAAGGCGCTGCCACCCGCCGCCTCGCCAGTCACCCTCGTCCCCGCCCCTGCCCCCGCCCCCGCAGACAGGTGCTCAAAGCAAACCAGAGGGCAAAGAAGCAGGCGAGGGAGCCAGGAAGGAGCCGCTATCAAAGTTCCAGGTGTTCCTTGCCGGCAGGTGCCTAAGCTTCGTGATCAGCACCATGGACAGCGCCCGCGAAGCGACTCAGGGCCGCTTGGACGCCGCGGGCTTCTGGCAGGTCTGGCAGCGCTTTGACGCGGATGGTAAGTGGAACACGCCACTGGCACATTCAGGTGTAGACGTGGCTCCAGCCCGGCCCCTTTCCGTCTTTCCTCGTTTTTCCTCGCAGGGAAAGTTGTCTTCCAGTGTTGTTAATGCGGTACACCAAACCAAACATGTTAGGTACACTGGAGCTATACATCTAGACGTCTGTGTAAGTTCAGGGTCAGGGGAGGGACTTGGTCCCCCTCCCAATCCGTGCGTGTGTGTATGTGTCTGTCTAAGATGATATGCCGTATATGACACAGATCATATATTTAGGCTTGTGGCTGGCAGGCATCTGTCTGAAGTCAGCCCTCCCTAAAGGTGCTCTTCAAAGGGAGGACGAATTTTACCAATTTTCAAAAAGACGCTACTTCCCCCTCCAAAAAAAAGTCTACTTGAAAAGAAAATGGAACCACTTAACATGTGCTTTATCTTTAGTAATATTTCAGCAACCATAAAGAAAATAGCTAAACTGTGCTTTGACTCTGCAAAGTAAGATTCAAGAATTACACCTGTTAAATTTTCCCAAGCTTCCAAGCCCTTGGGTTGGATTTCTTCTAAAATTCATGTTTGTCTGTGGATTAAAATATATGTATTTAATTGCTTTCCTTTTCCAAATATTCATATCAACCCAGCACAGAGCATTTACTATTGAATGTGTTTACTATTCAAATCCATGTCTCCGAGAGGTTAGACACCGGCACATAGTTACTGAAATAGTATCCATGGGGATTATACAGACTGTGAGATTCAAAACAATTTAGATAAATAGTAAATGTTACATGTCATTCTATGTAAGTGACTATCACTTATGCATCTCTTGTTGCATTTAGAAAAAGGTTACATAGAAGAGAAGGAGCTCGATGCTTTCTTTCATCACGTGTTGACGACACTGGGTACTGAGGTAAGTACTTGTGCATGAAGCATTAATTTATGTGCCTTTAGCAAAATACAAGCAGCATCCAAGTCTCATGTTGATTTGCACCTATTAATCTCATCTGACCTCTTTTCTTCCTTGCCTGCGTGTAATTTTTCTCCATCTCCTAGCAACATGGAGGAATTGAAGCAGGTTTTATAAAAGTACAACTGTAGCATTAGACGTGCTGGCCACTGAATTTCAGTGTAACATCTGTCATCCCCTGGAGAGACCCTAACTATAGATTCAAACAACTCTGCTTTGCACGTCTCCTTGGTTATGTTTCTGCTAATGGATGTAAACATGGAGATAAGGCAGCTCACTTTGTTCAAAAAGGTGGAAGAGATGTTAAGAGCTCTGAGGTTCTGAGTGGTTAGTGCATTTGATACTCCTTTGATAGCAGAGCACAAGCAAATAGATCTTTTAAAATCATTTTTCCATTATTCATTTTATTAGAAGAGGTTATAGATTTCTTAGGGAATGACAAACCAGAAAATAATCAATACACCCAGAGCCCAGGTATAATAAACATAAACCCATCTATCATGTCCGTGTCCCTCCCTGATGGTGAATCTGGCCTTGAGAGATGGAGATTAACTTTTGAAGATCCCTGTACCAAAGCAGAGGAAAAGCTCATACAAAGACACCCCAGCCTAGGGATGGGAGAGCCTAGTCAAGACTCCATCAGGGGATGCATGGTAAGAGGAGTAGCTCTGGAGACGGTAGCATTTACAGTGAATTGTGGAGATCACTTATCCTCAGGTAGAGAACTGTTTACACAGAAGAATAAAGTGCCCTGCACTTTTCCTATAGGAGCCCAAAGAAGGAAACGAGGCTCTCTGTGCCACCAAGGAGCGCTTAGTGAGGGTGTTTTCAGGCGGGGCGGGGTGGGGGGGCAACAGCTGAGAACAGAAGAGGAGCCTTCTGCCTCCAACAGCCGCGCAGACCTCGTCTCTCCGTCTCTGTCTCTATGTATATGGATCTCTCTCTCTCTGCCTCTCCTATTCTTTTGATGTCTGTCTGTCTCATTTTTCTGCCTATTTCTGTTTCTCATTCTGATTCCTGGCCCCTATCTTCCATCATCTCTTGACTTTGTCTCTGACCTCTCTGTCTCTCATCTCTCTGTCTTATAGGTCTCCCCATGTCTCACTGTCTCTCCTGTTCCCTTGTTTCTCTTTCTATCTGCAGTCCATCTCTCAAAGCTCTCTTGTCCCTCCTCTCCCTGTCTTTTCTTTTCCTTTCTATTTCTTACCTGTCTCATCTTTTTTTTTTGCCCCTCATTTCTTGTCTTTTATCAATTTCTCTTCTCCTTCTTTCCCTTAACACTCTCTGTCTTTGTCTCCCGGTCTCTCTCCGTCTCTGCCTTGCTCCTACTAACTGCCATAAATACTAGGGCTCAGGGCGTTCCAGAACCCATGAGTCAGACGCCGTTTTGTCATGCAGGACAGGAGTATTTGAGGAAAACAAATAGATGAAGTCAGAACCACTCAAAGTCTTGGAATAAACTGGATGGTCCAGGAACCCAACCCAACCTCCCAGAGACAGAACTTCACACGTTTCCAGAAGCTCCTTGCCTTCGTGATTTATAGGAAAGAAGGAGAAAAGTTGCTGTCCATGTTGAAGGAGTGTCTTATTCTCTGTCATGAGGTGGGGTTGGGGCTACTAAAATGCAAGGGTCTGCTCTGAGCCAAGGACACCAGGAGCCAACTTCGTCTGGGGCTTTGGCTAACATTGGAGACATTGTTGCCATTGGTGATGGAGTAGAGGGGTGCCTCTCTTCCTGCTGGGCACTCCATCTCTTACGTCCCTCAGAGCCAGTCTGGGGACTTGCCCTCTCACGCAGGGGCAGACATGGTCCTTGTAGGAGAAGACACAAGGGACTCACCAGTGTCCTGTGTCCCTGTGTGTCCCGTCCCTGAGGAATTTCAGTACATTTGGGGTTTGCCTAGGATCTTGCATTTTTAAATCACCCTAAGTCAGTGGGTATCTCTCTCACCCTCTGTCCCTCCAGGAAGAGTGACTGCCCGTCCCGGGGGGGCGGGGGAAGGGCAGGGTTCTAACAGGCCGGTCTCGGGGGGCTCGGGCAGCAACTCCACCTTCCTCTTCTCAGCACGTGGCTGCGAGAGAACTTTTGAAGGCAGATCAGTTGTATAAGCCATTGTCCAAAAATGTCATCGTCTGCCGTTATTCTGTCTCAAAATGCTGAGACCTTACCCTGGGGAGTGCGGTTATGGGAGCTTGTGCTGGGCCCTCCATGCTCCCTGGACAACCACGATTAAGGAAACTAGTCCTGATTCCTGATTCTGGGTTTTTACCCCACCGAGAAAGGAGTAGGCCCTAAGCATGTCCTTAATCAGAGGGCGGGACTTCCCAGGTGGACGTGCGTCAAGCTGAGTGACAGTCCCCATTTGTGACCCCTGCCTCTAATCAGGGATGCCCCAGCGGGTAGAGAAGCAGCCGCCGGGAGGCCTCCAGGAGTGGCAAGCCATTCTTCAGAGGCCTGAATAGCTCTACGTTCCTCCCTGATTAGCAGGTCACAGAGGCCTCGGAGGAAGGAATTTTAGGGCTGCCAACAGCGAGGGGCCTGCTGCTCAGGCTCGGAGAGGAACCCGTGTGATCCCCTGCTTCTCAGGGCCTCTGCAGGGACAGACTTAATGGAGCCATCGGCTGTTTTTGCTGCTGTTCCTGTTACTCACCCCTTCCCTCAGCACCCCCCCCTTTCCTTTCAAATGCTCAGAACTGGCCTCTGAACTAGGGCTGGAGAGAGCGAGTGCAGAGCAGAGCATCACTTTCTGGGGCTGTGTCCACGTCCTTCCTGTCAAATTCTAGCGCATCCTGGGCCTCCTTCCACGCGTCAGAGACGATGGGGCCTAGAGTCTCACAGAAGGGGGGCAGGGGGGCGCGGCTGGGAAATACAACAGAGGCAGCCCCTAGGCTCTGTTGCTTTAAGTCCAAGGGATAGTCATGGGCTTTGGAGTTAGAGGACAAAAGTCAAGGTTCTATTGCTTCAAACTAAAGGCAGCACATAGACTCAGGCCACAGCTTCTTTGGCTTTAGGTTTCTTTATCTTGAAACTTAATTTTCCACCCACGTGGCCTATGCCCACTAATGTCCTTTGGGAAGGCCCAGCCCACCGTAAAGAACCATGTATTCATTCCACAGATACGCTATCTCAGAGATACAGGAATGACGGCTGTCCCGCAGATCTGCAAATCTAGAAAGCCAACCTGAAATGCAAAGTGAAGACCCACCTTGTGGAGTGATCTCCATCACATTTTTTTCTATATGGTGCAAGTACGCAAGCCATAAACCCAAACCCAAACACACACAGTCCGAGGTGCCAAGACTAGAGATGCTGATCTCTCTCTGTGTAGTGGGGCGTCTCAGGAGGAAGCCTGGTTGGCAGGGATAGTGCGGGATCGGATTAGGGAAAGTATTAGGGAGACTGAATTTAGCATGGCTGCTGGGGTCTGGAGTCTTGGGATCTGGCACTGCTGCGGAGTGTTTCTGCCTCTCAGCTCTTCCATTAGAATTCCTTCTCCACTGTTGATTATATACGTCATATTTCTTTGTACGAACCCTGCAGTCCACTGACGAAGAACAAGTTAGTATGTAGAAAATGTAGGTGGAAGCGAGATGCGGCATCTTTGGTAATTCAACAACTACTTTGTTACTTTTTTCCCCTTCTAATTATTTTTCCTCAGTGGACCCTAGGAGAAGATTAAGGGATGAGCGATGGCAAACTGGCAGTCTAAAAGAGTTGGGCGTTTCACTTAGAACAAAATATCTGAGTTCTTGGGAAGAGAACTTGGGAGTCCTGCAAATGAGCTTAATGGAGGTGTTGTCCTTAGACAAGCTGACGGGATCGGGTTACATCAGTCTGAGGCCCCTTAAAACCTAGTCTCTCAGCTTCTCTTCCTTCATTCATGTTTTAGGAGTTCACTAGCCAGTAGGTCTCACCTGCTCAGGATTCTGATCAGGGGTGCTTTGCTCAAGAAATCTCCACCACTGTTCTCCCTTGTTCAACATGGGAGGCTCGCTTTAAATGGCTAAGTAACCTGCTTTCCGGGTAGACTAATGTAATGATCAGGCTCTATGCTCTGAATATTTGATATCCTGACTACATTTTTGGAATCCCGGTGGCTTTAATGTGGTTCTGTCTGGACTATTGTAGGAGGCAGGCATGGAAGAAAATGTGCGGAGAATGAAACAGCAATTTATGGCTCCCCAGGATGTCTCTAGAGATGGCCGCGTGCAGATGAAAGAGGTACCTTTCCCGACTGTCCCTTTCTCAACTGAGCCTTTTTGGGCTGTCATTACCCTGAAAGATAATGCAAATCTTACATCTGATTGGGAAGCTAGAACTCTCTGCCAGGCCGCTGACCTACCCAGCATTTTGAAGTAATCACCTTTCCTTTTCCATCTGCTTAACAACCCATATCAGTTTCTTTTTTTTGTTGTTGTTGTTTTTTTTAAAGATTTTTTATTTATTTATTTGAGACAGGGAGAATGAGATACAGAGAGCATGGGAGGGAGGAGGGTCAGAGGGAGAAGCAGACTCCCCGCCGAGCAGGAAGCCCGATGCGGGACTCGATCCCGGGACTCGATCCCGGGACTCCAGGATCCTGACCTGAGCCGAAGGCAGTCGCTTAACCAACTGAGCCACCCAGGCGCCCCCATATCAGTTTCTTTAAGTCAAGCAACATTTATAGTTATTTTAGAACTGGGGCGTTGATATGCTGGAGGCCTTGCAGTTACTCAATCCAATGTGTCTCTTTGCTGTGCGCTGTTCAAATCCAACCTGGGTATAAGGAAAAACTGACTAACAAGAAATGAGTTGAAACTCCCGCATCAGGTCCCAGTGAAGGTTGGGGAGCTCTAGCCCAGGAGATCATTTGGGACAAAACGGACAACAGCTATCTCACTTCAGTTCAGCCCACATAGTACCTTTCTCTTCAGAAAGTTATGATAATATGGCAAGATAATGTCTCCTTTTAAAAAGTAGACGTGTTCGCCAGGAAGGAAGCAGCCTTCTCAGAACACTAGATGTATGAGCGTTTCCAAAATTTTCACTCCAAGGCAAAAATTATATATGTCACCAACAACTATAGTATAATTGATGTAAAGCAATCCGCGTATCCGTTCAAGGAAAAGTAAATGGAAGCCTCAAGCTAGAAATAGCGAAGGACCCATGACCGCAGGTTCACTGCTGCGTTCTCCAGCCCACGGAGCAGAGCGGAACATTTAGCGACGCCCAGTAAATATGGGTGGGCTTAAGAAAGAATAAATGAAGCATGGGAAGTGCCTGGAAACGATGGTGTTCTCTTACTAACAACAGGCAGGGCTTCTGGAAGCACTTGGAAACCCGGCAACAACCTCGACACCGTGCCAACCATCGGTCATGGAGTCCCGCAAACTCACATAACGGAGGTGTTGTTTGTAGACAAGCTGATGGGATCGGGTTACATCAGTCCCAGGCGCCTTAAAGCCTCTGGAGCCTGTGAGCTTAAGGAGTAGCTGGGCCCCCCCACATCCTCCTGCTGTCTCTGTCTCACTCCAATCACAGGTTGTTGAGACATAAAAATCAGCCCGCCTGGACACATTTTAGATATTCTAGCACAACTGAGATGAGGCAGGGGTCCCAACTGAGAGCCTAAGCCAAGCTGGAGGGTTATCTGTGCGTCTGATTTGTGTGGGCCCCTCTGTGCCGCTCCAGTCAAAGCTGAAGACAGACTGGGTTCTAAAGGCTGAGGACGCTGAATCACATTTTAATTTGGTCTCTTGGCTTGGGCCACCCCATGTGAAAAAACATGTCGTTCTGAAGAGCAGATGCCGATTCTAGCTGACGTCGGCCCAGACCCCTGCGGCAGGGGGGAGGCGGGACAGCACCAAGGCCACGCGGTGAACGTGAGACCTTGGCCAAGTCACTTCTCCCGAGCCTCTGGTTCATGGGCTTCATCAACACGGTATTAGCATTTATTGAGGGTTTAATTTGTACCCGGAATTTTGCTCCATTTTGCTTATAAGTAGTGCCTCGTTTTACTTTTGGCCTTCACATTAGCACCAGGATATAAACATTACCATCCCCGTTTTACAAGTGAGGAAACTGAGGCACAGAGAGATCGATTAAATTGTGCCAGATCAAACAACAGGCGAGCAGTGGAGAAGGAATTTGGATCCACCCTGAAGCCTGTCACGGACACTGCAATGTCCTGCCCCCATGAATAAAAGGGGGTATTTATACTGACCAGTAGGACTGGTATGAGAATTTAATGAGATCATAAATGACAAGCACGTCGCCAGTGCCTGCCACGTCCTAGCTACTCGATATATGATATTCAAAATATGAATGCTCTCGTTCACACGGTAGGTCCTCGAGCAGACCCACATCCAAGTAGAGAAGTGAGTAAGCGTGTGGGCTCACGATGCCAACCAGCCACCAACAGCCTCTGTCTGGACTCACTGTGGCGGGCCACTCACCGCGGAGACAGAAGGAATGGCCATTCTTTACGGGGGACAACGCAAGCCAGCCATACCACAGTATGGTAGGATGGGATGAGCCCAGCCAAACACACCCACGTGCTGACGCGGGAGTTACAGTCGCGCAGGGGAAGAAAATGTCACCGTTACTCATGGGAGAAGTGACATCAATCAGTAGAAGTGGTGCTCAGATAAGAGGGAGAAATGGATCATACCTGGACCAACGATGGGAGCACCACAGAGACACCGATATGCAGAAGAAGAAAAACAGCGGACACTCGGGACACCGACGGCAGTCGCTCCTGTCTGTGCCATGTGCACAGCATCTCCCCAGCATGGCGGGAAGCTGGAAAGTAGGGCCCTAGTCCGGGTGCCACCACTTCCTAGCCATGCAACTGAGGCAAGCTCCAGTTTCCTTAAGGAATAAGTAATAATGGTCGTGTGCTGGGTACGCTCTAGGTTGTGGTTAGGATGAAGCGAGTAAGCATCTGTAAGAATTTGGAACAGTTCGTGGCACATATAAGAATTATTCACTATTTTAATTTTCTATTATATGATAGAGTTAAATTATTTTAATACGGGAGAGTCTTAAAACAGTGCCTGGGACATATTAAGCACTGACAAATTTATTATTAAAATTAGGATTATGATTTTGGGTCGTAAACTCGTGGGAGGCAGAGATACCCACCGTGTTCCTTACCTAGTAGCAGTACAATGCTGTTTGGAAGCATCAGTGAGTCAAAAATGGCAGTCGCGGGCCCAGAACTGCCATCTGAGCTCTCAGTCCTGAGGAATCCAAGCCCTCCTGTCCTATATAGTATGTCCCACCATGGCTTTTACCCAGGGGGCACTGGCCAGTGTGGCTGACGGCTATTTCTCTCTGTTTCTTTAGCTTGCCAACATGTTCTTGTCTGAGGATGAAAACTTCCTTCTGTTCTTCCGTCAGGAAACCCCCTTGGACAGCAGTGTGGAGTTTATGCAGGTAAGTGTTGGGTTGTGTCTCTACAGAGCATGAGGACTGAGAAGAGGCCAGGATCCCAGCCACCGACCGTGGTGGCCCCCACTCCTGCCCAGTCCCCAAGCCCACAGAGGATAAGACCAAGCAAAGAAGCCCTTGGTGATGAGCCAGAACTCAGGCTCCAAGCCCCAGTGTGTTCTGTGCCCTGCCCTAGGCTGCTCCCGAGATGACAGAGTCCTTCAGCCTGGGCTAGAGGAGGCCCAGACAACAGGCCGGCAGGCCGACATGGAGGACTATGACGGGGGTCGGCTGGGAACTCTGGAGGCCAGAGAGCAGGTGCCCCATCCAAAGCAGAGAACCTGGGGGAGCTCCAGCGAATTGCTGTCTTCTCAGCATGCTGTCTGGACATCTAGACTCTACGTGAAACTACTGGTTTTTATATATTGGCCACTCATTCTAGTTTTGAAGGTGTAATACCATGAAAACGTAACTCACTAGTGAGCCCATCCAGCCGGCAGGCCTTCTGTTTGCAATCGCTGTGCTCGAGAGAAAGCTAAAGGCAGTCAGTGGTTCCTCTTAACTCCTCTTTCAGCCTCTAGGTGTTACTATCTGTTGGAGAAAGAAGACCAGGAAAGTCAGAGCAGACTCAAGGCAGCTACTGCAGCCGGGGGCCCATTCCTGAAACAGTTACCAAGTCCCCATTTAGGAGATAATAGCTTAGTACCCTTTTGCACGACTGCATTTACTTCGGACCAAGTGAAAGTCATAAAATGGAGCAAGCACGTGCATAGACTATTCACAGGAGAGATCTGAATGGACAATAAATGTATGCTGGTCGCCAAGAAATGCAAATTTGAAAGAACTAATGTTTGCTAATCGAAGTGGTAAGGATTTTAAGAGGATCAACAAAATACGTGGTGCCAGCAAGGAAGCACTGAGATTGACGCTCATGATCTGTTGGTAGGCATGCACACTGTAACAATTTCATGAACAGCAATTTTGCAAAAATGTAATCAGGATCCTTTAAAGTGTCGTTATCCAAAGTTAAAAATATCTTTACCTTCTGACTTAATAAGTCTACTGCTTTAGGCATCTATCTTAAGGGTATAATCAGAAATGTTTGTATTTGGAGGAAATGCGTTAATATGTTAAGAAGCAAAATTGTGCGTGCATTATGATCTTAGTATTATTTAACAAATGGTTCACCCTGGGGCGCCTGGGTGGCTCAGTTGGTTAAGCAACTGCCTTCAGCTCAGGTCATGATCCTGGAGTCCCGGGATCGAGTCCCACATCAGGCTGCCTGCTCAGCGGGGAGTCTGCTTCTCCCTCTGATCCTCCCCCTCTCATGCTCTCTGTCTCCCATTCTCTCTCTCAGATAAATAAATAAAATATTAAAAAAAATAATAATAAAAAATGGTTCACCCTAACACCTACATAAATTAGACCATAGGTGAATACACATAAGATAAACACTGATTGCTTTTAAGTGGTAAGATTTCAGATGATTTTCATATTCTTTGTACTTTTATATTTTCCAATTGTGCACAGAATCATAATTATTTACAAATTATTTTAAGTGACATTTTCAAAATAATTTTAGTGGTGCTTAAAAATGCTCTCAGAAAATTTTAAATGAAAATAATAAACAGATTGCCCAAGTGTATAGACAATATGACCTCCAAGTTAGTCTTGTCATGTGTGTAATAGAAATATAATGGAAAGGAAACACACAGATACACCTGGGCTGGGTGTATATCCACAGAGTGTAGTTTTCTCCTTTTTGTAGTTCGTTAATTTTGTACAGTGAATATGATTTACTCTTATAATCAGAAAAACAGTATTAAAATGTTAGGCCTTGCCTAGTATAGAATAATCTTGAGGAATGGGAAAAAGGAAAGAGCACTATGGAGCTTTCCTATCTTTTTGTTTTTCTTTTAACTTATTCCATTTACCCCCTCCTTTCTAGTTGGTCAGTTGTTTCTGTAACAAAGAGCTTTCCCTTTCTCTACCCAGTTAAAAAATATATATACATCTAACTTCAGACTCTTAATTTTTTTTAAGTTAAATTTGTTATAACCTATCACTATCCTCTGTATATTTTTAAAAATTCTAAGTTAATGCCTTTACGTTCCCCCTGAGCCATAGGACCTTAAAACACTTTAATCCTGACATATGGTACCCAGCTCACCTGTTGTGGTTGTCCAGGATATGAGTTCTGTCTTGTTTTCTTTAACCCCACAAATTTTATGCGGTCAAGATTTGCTTTATGCACCATTGCTTTTTGTGACTTAGAGTCTCCTTCTTTGTGTTCCTCCTTCTTAGAGTATATCCTGTACTAAATTCTGTTGGTAAAAACTTTCTTTGCCTGGAAATCTCCTTATTTTGCTTTCATTCTTTAAAGATAGGCGTGCACATTATTTGCATAAAAACCTTTGGGCCTCCAATGGCTGGCTCAGTTGTAGTAAAATTATAAGATAAGGTAGATGGAAAATGTTTGGAGAATAACATTTTAAAAAAGCATGGAAATGGTTTTATTTATTATTTGAAATTCTTATTCTTAGTTTTGGTATAGTCACCCAGTAAAAGTTTGATTATAATTTATATTTAAATAGTTGATTTTGTAAGTCTGGCTGAGTTCAGGGACTACGAGGCGTGAGGTTTCTCAGTCTTCTCACTGCCCATCAATATCCCCACTATCCCTGCAGGGTGCTCAGGCAGGGCTGGCTGACCGGGGTCAAGAATTAAGGTCCCTGCAGTGGGCGACTCAGCTAAGCCATTCTACATTTACAGAAAATCTGTCAGTTAAAAAAAAAAACAACTTAGGGCCGCCTGGGTAGCTCAGTCGGTTAAGCGTCTGCCTTCAGCTCAGGTCATGATCTCAGGGTCCTGGGATGGAGCCTGCATTGGGCTCCCTGCTCAGCGTTGAGCCTGATTCTCCCTCTTCCTCTGGCTGCCGCTTGCCCTGCTTGTGCTCTCTCTCTGTTTAATTAATTAATTAATTAATTAATTAAAAAACAAACAACCTTAGTGCTACTTTTTCTTTTTAAAATTTTTCTATGGTAGGCCCTACCCTGAGCAGGGCTCAAGCAGGGCTTGAACTCACAACCCCGAGATCAAGACTTGAGCTGAGACCGAGAGTCGGATGTTTAACTGAATGAGCCACCTAGGCGCCCCTACTTTTTTTTTTTTTAAAGATTTTATTTATTTATTTGAGAGAGAGAATGAGAGAGAGAGAGAGCACATGAGAGGGGGGAGGGTCAGAAGGAGAAGCAGACCCCCCGCCGAGCAGGGAGCCCGATGCAGGACTCGATCCTGGGACTCCAGGATCATGACCTGAGCCGAAGGCAGTCGCTTAACCAACTGAGCCACCCAGGCGCCCTACTTTTTGATTCTGTACCAGAGTTCGAGAACTCGCCAACCCGTGAGGCTTACACATGGAATAATCCGAGGTGGTCCAAATCACACCACTTATTAGAGAAAGCAGTTCAGTGTCTCTGTCAAAGTGTTCAGTTGTTCTGTCTTCCAGTTTGGTAATCGTATCTTAGCCGGATGAATGCTGCCCTTAAACCCTAAAACCAACGAAAGGCTCGTCTTGTCTCTGGGAATTACCCAGGATGCTTTATTCCCTTTACCCAGAGCCAAGGCCACGCAGGGAAGATTCCTTAGGGCCTTCCGGAAGCACAGTTTATTTTGGAGGGGTTCACCCTTTCACTAAGGGTTTTAGTTTTAGGCAGGTGCCTCAAGTTGACAGCCTCCACCTTTGCCTGGGCCCCAGGATTTGCCTCCTGTCCACCTTGTGTGCAATTTCCTGGTGAAGCTGCAGGCCACATTCTCAGCGTCAGCGCACGGACCCGGGACAGAGTCCGGTGTCGGTCCTGCGGGACCTCCCTGGGTGTGTGCTTGTTTGCATGGCTGATGGATTTATAAACGGATGCCTGGCTTTCGTGTGTTTCAGATTTGGCGCAAATACGATGCAGACAGCAGTGGCTTTGTATCAGCTGCTGAGCTGCGGGTACGTGTCGCTGGGGGCTCTCGCTGGGGGGAGGGGCTGGGGGCTCTCGCTGGGGGGAGGGGCTTTGATGTACATGGATCGTGAATTTCATTTCTGTGGGCCCAAGAAATATGGGTTTGAATGTGTTACTTAAAAAAAAAAAAGTATTTGTGTTTAAGAGGTTTAGAAAGTACAGGTGTTATTGCTCTCTCTAGGAAAGACACATAATTGAGGATTTTTGACACTTTTTCCATGCCTGGAGCTATTCTCTGGGTTCTATGAGCTCCTTTTAAGCAGGGACAGCCCTCCCCATTCTTGGATTTATTGCTTGCTGAAAGCATTTTATTTTCTCTGTTAAAAAAAAAAAAAAATGAACCACAATCTTTGAAGTAAGGCCTCCCGAGATCTTCCCATATAAGATGTGGCTCTTCTCTTGATGTCACAGAACTTCCTCCGAGACCTCTTCCTCCACCACGAAAAGGCCATTTCTGAGGCTAAGCTGGAAGAATATACTGGCACCATGGTAAGTAACTGAGCGATGGCATCTCCACAGGGCAGCTTCCCCCTTCCCCCCCGGGGCCCAGAACCAGAGGCGCAGAGTAAGCGCCCCAGTGAACTTCCGCAGACCAAGTGAATGCAAGAGAAACCTCAACTCTCAAAACATTGGCTACAATTGAGCCACTTTAGCCCCTCTCTGAGGCTGAGGCTGCATGTATTGGAGACGGGAAGTGGTTCACCCATCCTTAGGGAGACCAGAAGTCCAGTCAACATCAGGTTACTAGGTACCAGGCCAGTGAGCTCAATCCTACTGGAAGTCACATAGAAACGGGTAAATATGGACAATCAGAAACCTAGACAACCAGGACCAAACACATAGGAGCCACTTCTTGGCACCGTGGACAATTCTATTCATTTAGTGTGTTGATTTAGAGTGGTGGAGAGTCAGATAGACGGGAGATGTGTGTCCCCCCACTGCCACGTCTTAGCTATGACCTTGGGAGATTGTTAAGCCTTTCAATTTTACTTATTTCATCCATAAAATGGGGGGTTAATAGGACCCTGTTACAGAAAGGGCAAAGGGAGTTGGTGCAGAGGAAGCACTGGGCAAGTGTCTGGGACATGAGACATGTTAGGTCTTATTGTGGCGCTTGCTATGGTCCTTGTTGTCATTATTTTGCTTGCCCCTGGCGGCATCCACGTGCTGAATGACCCTGAGATTATTTCAGTGTCAAAGTTCCCTGAAAAATGGTGGTGTGGGAGAAGCTGCCTCTGGCGACCGCGTCCTCACCTTCAGTTTCAGCTAGGAACATGGAACATCTCTCCCGGTTCCCATCAACAGCCCGGGTGCCCTGCCTTTCATCTCCTACGAGCCCCTCCCTGTCCCCAGACGTGCGCTCCATTCCAATCCAACTCTGTAAGTGGTTTCTCAGTTCATAAGCAAGGAAATGGCTGGGGAAGCCTTAATTACTTGTAGGATTGTTACATCTATTATATGAGGCGCTCTTGACCAGACTGACGTTGCTCAACTTCCTGGTGCACAGTCAGAAGCACATACCACTGGGAAGAGGTGGTGAATTCCCATAAAATGTGTGCCACTAGGTTGATCTATGAGGCCTTTACGTGATGTTTCCAAATATGGTGTTATTTCTGATGACTTCTCGGCAGGGTTGGCATTGTTCATGCTGTTTCATGCTATATATCTGATGGTGGAGGCCTAGAAAGGGTAAGTGACAGAGTCAAAAGTTGAATTCTTTTTTTTTTTTTTAAGATTTTAATTTATTTAGGGGCGCCTGGGTGGCTCAGTTGGTTAAGCGACTGCCTTCGGCTCAGGTCATGATCCTGGAGTCCCAGGATTGAGTCCCGCATCTGGCTCCCTGCTCAGCAGAGAGTCTGCTTCTCCCTCTGACCCTCCCCACTCTCATGCTCTATCTCATTCTCTCTCTCAAATAAATAAATAAAATCTTTAAAAAAAAAAGATTTTAATTTATTTATTTGAGAGAGAGAGCCCGAGCAGGGGTAGGGGCAGAGGGAGAGGGAGAAGCAGGCTCCCCACTGAGCAGGGAGCCCAATGCGCAGCTCAATCCCAGGACCCTGAGATCATGACCTGAGCTGAAGGTTGACGCTTAACCGACTGAGCCACCCAGGCGCCCCGCCACGTTGAATTCTTAAATGCACTGCAAAGATTGGGTAACTGGGAGAAGTTAAGTTACCAGGCCAAAGGCCCCAGTTAAACTGGAAGCTGAGCCCTCTTGGTTTTCAGCCCTGGCCCCTCCCACCGCTCCCTCTGCACTCTGACTACCCAAATGCTGCCCCCAGTCACCAGTGCCTGCCCTGGGAAGGAGGAAGGTGTTCTTGACCATGAGGACTTGTAAATGGCCCAGACAAGTGAAGCCCATGCCAAGGACAGAATCAAACCCCAGGCCAGGATCTCAATGAAGGAAATAATTCGGCTTCTTGCTCTGTGGTGTTTGAGATCCTGAGTAAACACGTACTCGGCTCTGAAGGGTGAAGTGGGAGGCCCCTGAAGCAGGAAGCAGTTCCCCAGTATGGGGAGATCTCTGGGTTTTTCCCACCGGATTTCCAGTGAAACCCGCCAGCCGAATAAAGACTATGAAAGGGGCAATGTCACTGTAACTGCCTGGGACAGAGAAAGACAAGCAGATCATGTTTCCAGCTGAGCACTTTTCCAACCTGGAGTTCACACCGTGTCAGCACTGTTGTTACCTCGATTTTATTCACTTAAAAAACATGCACTACACAATGAAATGCTCTCACTTCGAATCTCCAGCATGCTTCTTTTTTTTTTTTTTTTAAGATTTTATTTTATTTATTTGACAGAGAGAGACACAGCGAGAGAGGGAACGCAAGCAGGGGGAGTGGGAGAGGGAGAAGCAGGCTTCCCGCCGAGCAGGGAGCCTGATGTGGGGCTCGATCCCAGGACCCTGGGATCATGACCTGAGCCGAAGGCAGATGTTTAACGACTGAACCACCCAGGTGCCCCTCCAGCATGGTTCTAGTATTTCTTTGGTTACCTTTGATTCTGAGGGGTTTCCCTCGGGCTCTAACTATAATGCTAAACCACCTCTTTCTCACTTCTTTTTCTGTTTGTTTGTTTAAAGATTTATTTATTTATTTATTGGACACAGAGAGAGAGCACAAGCAGAGGGAGGGGGGCAGAGGCAGAGGGAGAAGCAGGATCCCCACTGAGCAAGGAGCCTGATGAGGGTGATCCTGGGACCCTAGGATCACGACCTGAGCCCAGGGCAGATGCTTCACTGACTGAGCCACCCAGGCGCCTGTCTTCCTCACTTCTTAACATGGCTCAACTCTCTTTTCCCTCCTTTTCTTCTCCTGGTTCCTGCTTGTCCTTCAAGATTCGGTTAGACGTCATCTTGCCCTAGAAAACCTTCCAGAAACTTTCTTCTGTAGCAGATGCAGGTGCCTCTCCTCTGTGCGCCCAGACTACCTTGTGCATATCTCTGACGTGCCCATCAAGGTCATCGGTTTGACCCATCCCACAACTACCCACTCTCTGCTCTGCCCCGGGCACCCCTCTGGTCGCCGGGTACCCAGCAGTGAGCGCAACAGACAAAGGGGAGACTGACAATAACCAGAAACATAGTAAATAATAAATTAGATTGCATGACAGAGGGTAATGAAAAGGTAGAGTAGGACGAAGGCTGGCCACGCCTGCAAGGTGGCGAGGGTGAGGGCCTGGGGAGGCGGGGGGTGGGTGCTCGGGGAAGGACCAGCAGGAGGCACGGAGCCCCTGGGGCAGCGGTGTGCCTGGCATCTTCAAGGACAGGAAGACAGCCCTGGGGCCAGGGCGGGGTAAGCGAAGGCGCCACTCACCAGAGGCCAGACCATGTAGGGCTTCTTAGGATTTAGCAGGATTCCTGACGAGTCAGCTGCAGTCAAGAACAATGCTGACTCCACTTGTTTATGGATCTAGTTCCTTCCCAGCCAGTGATTCTTCCACCGCAAGGGCGGCGGCGTATCTCTGCGTTCCCTGGCCTCCCGCGGGGCCGGGCACACAGTAGGCTACTTAATGCAAATTGTCAGAATTGAGTTCCAGCCTACCTAATAGCTAGCTAAAATAAGAAACCGTGAGGACAAAAGCAAAGTTTGCCCTTGGGACCGTCCTGCCTCCCTGGCTGGTGTTCCTTGAGCCCCTCCACCCCCATGATGGCTCTTGATCCCCCTTGGGCAGGTGCCTCATAGATCATAGATTGCACAGGTCCAACCTTCCTCAAGCTGTGCTTCATGTTCTGAGATTCTCCCTTTTCCCCCTCTTTTTAAACCAAACCCTCCGGGGTCGAGCCAGGAGAGCTTGGAAGTGCTGAGCTTGATCCTTTATGGCTCTCACTGGGGTCCTGCCCCCATGCTGAGGACCAGAGACAAAGGGCAGGAAACCAGGCACCAGGAGTGGGGGCTAGAGCTGGAGGATGTGCAGGAAGCAGAGCAGAGCAAATCTGAACAGACAATCCCAGCAGGACAGGCCTGCGACACGTCCCTGTGGATTCAGAATCCACATCACCAGGTTCCTTAAGTTGAGACACACATGTTTTTCTGGGCTGAGGAGTAGATTCTCAAAGAGACCAGCATATCTTCCCTCACCAAAACCCTCACTCCTTTCATGCTTTTTTCTTCCAGGTCAGAATACCATCTAGTAAACTAGGTCACTCAAAGATGTGAGTTCATTCATTCAATAAATATTTAGGGAGAACTTACCAAGGCAGATATGGTCCCTGATCATATGGGATCTTCCTATTAGGGAAAATTTGGAGGGAAAGAGCAAAAATTCACTCTCGTCGCTCCTGTTCATCCCCACTGTGCTGGTCATTGTCATAGACCTTCCACCGACAAGTTGAGTTCAATTTTGCCTTTGGTCCCTAAATACAGCGATCTTATCTTGAGATCCCGTTTTCCTGACTTTTCAAAAATCAGGCAGATCATAAGGAAGCCACAATTCTAGAGCTTCCTCAAAGGCAGGACAAGAGAAGGTAGGTAGATGGACAGAGTAAGCGCTGATAAGCTGGTGCAGGGGGGCGGGGAAGAAGAGATAACTGTGCCTTCGGAGAGTCTCTAGGGGTCATCTCATTCAACCCCATCATAAGGGACAGAAGGGCCATGAGGGAGACTCATGGGCTGCTTGCCAAGCCAACACTCGGCTGGAAAGATTCTGAACATCACGCATCAGCCCGGCAACCCTGGTCGCCCAGAGCGCTTCTCTGCACTGCCTTTAGGTTTCAATCTTTAACCTCAGGGGGGCCACTCCTCCCTTGGGATGCCCGGGGCTGAAGAAGATCCGGCAGTGTGCAATTTTTGATGCCTCTCGGCTCGCATCTGGAAGCCGAGAACCCCGTGAATCAGCTGAGGGGGATCCGAGTAGTCTCACCCAACTTCTGAGTATCTGGGGTGAGAACCGTCCATGGACCAAGACCATCCTGTTATTCAGTGTCTGTTTCGTTGTCCAAGCCTGTGGTTCCTCTGCTTCTGTGTGCTGCCCAGAAGCACTCATTTTGTTCCAAACTGTCCTGTGGGGAGAGGCTCATGATCAATCAAATCCAAGTGGCCCCTCACGGGTTCTTTATGCCTTGAGGTGATAGGCAAGTGTTGAGGAATCCGGTAAAAGAGTTTCCACCTAGTCTAACCAGACCTAGTCTAACCAGAAGACTGGATGACTTTAATGAGATTATGGCCAATCTATTTCAGTGGCATTCCTTAAATTCAGAGGTGGCTTATATATACTTTTCCAATGAACATATTTGGGACCTGGATGATAGTTTTTTGTTTTTTTTTAAAGACTTTTTACATTTCCCTAATGACCTGTGGGTGAATGAACTTTCAGAAACTCAATAATCTCCAAAGAGATTTTAGAACCTTCGTCTAACTAAGCGATACACCAAGTATGAACCTTCGTCTAACTAAGTGATACACCAAGTGTGAACCTTCGTCTAACTAAGTGATACACCAAGTGTGAAGCCACCTCATGGCTGCTTTAATGGCTTTCTCTGAGCAATGGGTACAGTGGGAGTAGCTCTGCCTTACAGATCTGGTTCCGGGGTTTTGCATCAAATGCTTTACTTAGGAAATGTAACCTGCTAAATGAATTTAAATAGACTCAAATAAGGATCGGCACATTTGAAAGCTGTCTGCAGCCTGAACAATGAGTGAGTCACAGCAGAGCACTGAGTCATAAGCGAAAAGTCGAGGTCTGCAGACCTAACCTTCTTCTAACTCCTAATTAATGTTCTGGACAAGGAAGGAAACAGCCTATTAACAAAATCCAATTAGGACATCTAATTGAGAGGGGCTGCCAGTACCTGGCAGGGGGAAAGATTAGCTGTCCGAATAGCATATTATCAGGTAATGTTGAACTTTTAAAAACGTAAGCTAATGCATGTGGGAGATGTTAAGTTCACGTACCTAATTAGAGTGTGGAACTTGAACTCTTGTAAATGTGCAAATTAAAATCTGAGACCATGGCAGACAGAGAGACATGTGAGGTTAAGCTTGTCCCATCCTCTACCCTGGTCCCAGCCCTTGTCCTTTGGGCCTGGATGGAAGTCGCTGGCTTCCGAGCTGCTTCCTTCCATAGATGGAGACATTCAACTCTGATCCGGGCTGATGGGAAACATGCTTGAGCTCCATCTCAAGAGCTCTTCCCTCCTGTGCTGGTGACCTCAACCAGCCTCATGACTTGAAATACCAGCTAATGGTGATGACCCTCAGTTCACAACTCTGACTCAGACCACTTCGCTGAACTTCTTAAGTGAACCAGGTAGCCCATTTTCTGATGGATAGAAATGTGATTTACCACATTGGTGTTCAGTTCTTCCTCAAGCCAATTTTGAGCAAAGGGCATTTTCCCCTTTGAATAATTTGCACAACAGTGGAGATGGGTCCACATCTTTCGAGATGAGTTACTACTTGCTTAAAGCTCAAGATCGTCTAGCTCTCTATTAAAATAGAACCTTTTATAATGATGGTGCCATGGGGAATAACTCATGGCTCAGTCTCCAGCAAAATGTACTGCTCTTGGATTTTTACTGGATATAAAATTTATGTTTAAGGGGTGTGATTGGATGTGTTATATATCCGAGTGTATAAATATATAACCTGTTTTTTAATAGATTCTGTAATATACATTTTTGATGCTAAAGTTTTAGGGAAATGGACTTTCAAATTCATTTCAAATATTAAAAAGAAACTGGATTTAGGGAGTGAGGAAGGATGGATGGATATGTTTTTGTTTTTTTTATTTTTTTTATTTTTTTTTTTAAAGATTTTATTTATTTTTTAGAGAGCGAGAGAGAAACAGCATGAGAGGGGCAAGGGTCAGAGGGAGAAGCAGGCTCCCCGCTGAGCCGGGAGCCCGATGTGGGACTCGATCCCAGGACCCTGGGATCATGACCTGGGCCGAAGGCAGACGCTTAACCATCTGAGCCACCCAGGCGCCCCGGATATGTTTTTTAATGCAAAAATCTGTTAGACATACTCTCAGATTTTCTCATTCCCTCTTTTCCCCTGTACAGCCTCTTCCTACAAATATGTTTAGAGATATTCTGCTGCACTAAAATGTTGTGAAGTCACAAATTCACTCACTAACTATGACTCAAATATGCCATGAAATGTCTCTCCTCCATCTTGCCTAATCTGGTCTTCCTGATTTTAACTTTGAATCCTATCTTGTATAAAGCCTCGTCTGATCTAATAATTTAAATAGTCTCTTTGGATATAATGCTAAGTCTTTCCACAAAAGGAGGAGCTTGGCCTCTTCGATTTCTCAGTCATCTTCGTCCAACCCAGAGTCTTCTGCAAAAATGGCATCAAGGAGGGGCGCCTGGGTGGCTCAGTTGGTTAAGTGTCTGCCTTCAGCTCAGATCATGATCTCTGGGTCCTGGGATCGAGCCCTGAGTAGGGCTCCCTGCTCAGTGTGGAGTCTGCTTCTTCCTCTCCCTCTGCCTCTCCACTGCTCCTCCCACCCCTCATGTGCTCTCTCTTTCTCAAATAAATAAATAAAATCTTTAAAAAAAAGGCATCAAGGAGAGAAAAGTGGCTTTGGGCCCTAATGGTGGAGGTGGGGAGCCGACGTCCCTGGGCACAAAGCTCTGACTCCTCTGGTCTCCAGGATGATGCTTCTTGGTCACTCAGTTGCTGCCTTGCTGGTATTCACAGCTGAAGTCTGTGATGAGCTCATAACCCATGCTCCTAGCTCTGGCTAGCCCATTGGGAACTATAGGCCAATCCACCAGCCATCCTTTACCTCTTGCTGGATGCAGACCACGAATTCTCTGCCACATCTGTAGCAGAGTCCACATGTTCTTGCCACACGGCAGACTAGTAAATCAAGAGGCAAGATGCTGGGGGACGGAAAGCAACTTTATTCAGAAAGCCAGCAAACCAAGGAGGTGGCAGATTGTGGTCCCCAAGAACATCTTTCCTTAGCATGAAATGTGAGCTGCTTTTATTTTAGGAGGAGGTTGGAGTCAAGAGGTGACGGATATCTGTAGATGTTCAGGAGCCCACAGGGGTCCAAGGAAGGTTATGAAACCTTTCTGTCCTTGGTTACTTGATCGTTGCGTACAGGAATCTGGTCATAGTGTCCCTGTAAATCTCAGCATTGTTATTTCTATACGTACTTCCTTCTCTCCTCGGGTGAAGTGGGTTTAGGGGAAAGAGTGGATTTTGCACGTCTCAGCTGTAGCATGCCTATGTGCAGGGGTCCATGGAGGTCTGTCAGCCATACGTCGAAGCAGCAAGGGAAACAGAGGCAACATGGAGTCAGACATGCTAAGTGTCTCCCTATGACACATCCTCTTTCCAGCCTGAGGCTCTGGGGTCCACTCCCGCCCTCGGTTCCAGCGTCACCTCATCCCATCACAGCCAGCCCCATGGCAAGTCCACTGGCTCTTAACCCAGTGTCCAAATCCCTGGGTGCTCAGAGTGTCTTGGGGAGGCTGAACCACAGCAACTCCTTCCTCATTAGTGCCTTCCTCCCTCCGGAACCCCTTTCCAGCAGAGTTAGGTCACACACCTGTCCACTGTATGCCCCCATCTCTGCCTGTCCCGCTCTTCCTTCCTACAATCCTTGAAGCCTAGAGAGGCGGACTTTCCCCTCTATCTTGTCCTCCTCAACGCCTTCGGCCTTCAGTGGAAAAGTGGTATTTCTTCTGTGCTCAGTAGGGAGTGCCCTCTGACATGACAGCCTCAGGCGGTTTAGACAACATTGGGATCGGAATGGCAAAAGGACAAAGTGCTTTGGTAACTTTCAAAGTGAATTCCCATTACAAGTACTTCTTACAGTTGTGTCCCCTTCTGCATTCCAGATGAAGATCTTTGACAAAAATAAGGATGGCCGTTTGGATCTTAATGACTTGGCAAGGTGAGTAGCCTGAGAATGGTGTCAGACTCAGACATACCATCGTGGGGGTTCCACGATGCACACACTTCCCTTTGAAAGGCAGAGGTCAAGTCTTGCCTGGAACCCTGAAGAACAGGCTCATCTGGCCAAATAAACAGCAGTTGTTTAGAATCTTCTGGGGGTGACAGATCCCTTTGTAAAGATAATAAAAACTACACCCCCCAAATGTGCAATACACAAAGTTTTCATAAAATTTTATAGGTGGGTCATGGGCCAGCCCTGCCTTCAAAGGCCAGACGTTCCTGGTCTCACATAAGGACCCCATGAAAATATGTCTGGAATCTCATTCACTGGCTCTGGGAAAGCTGAGCAGTTAGTTCAGGACAGGGGACGACTGAACCAGGCTCCAGCTGTGCTGTCTGGTTTTTCGGTGTTGAAGTAGCCTCCATGGGCACCCAGCACCCGAAGGCCAGAGTAGGGGAGGGGAGGGGTGACAGCAGAAGTGGCCTAGTACCTGGGAAAGTGCATCTGCAAGGCTGGTGTTGTGACATGATGGTCATGTCAGCACATCATCTCAAGGCTGGCTGACCCCAAGATGACCTGTGATTGTCACAGAGAGGAAAAAAAATCAGTGGATCCAGAATACATGGGTATAACCCAGAAGGGGGAGCAGTTACGATCCCAGGGGCCTGCGGATGGGGTGGATGGAGCTGTAGCGTGGACAGTGACGGGGGTGGCAGTTACAGGCTGCAGGGCACAAGCAGGTGTGGCTGGAAGACAGGGAGTCCACGGACTGAGGGTGATTTTCAGTGACGGAGAGTTAACTTGGCAATGTCATAAGCAGATGTTAACTTGAGTTCAGAATCACAAAGCCCCGTACGAGCTACCTCCTCTCTTGGCAGCATCTGCGAATGGGGACACACCAGGAGGAACCTCTCCTTAGTGATTACCAGGACATTGACCCCAACACTCTATAGGGTCTTCTATTTTGAGCCTCATCCTCCTTGGTTACTTTCCCCAGGAACTTCGTCCCAAATTTGGCCACTTTGCTGGGGAAGAGGCACAGAGAGACCAGCCAGACCAGAGGAGGACAAGAGTGTTTCTCCCAAAGGTTGAGGACTGAGGGATCTCCACCCTGTGGCCTCGTAGATCTGTCCCCTGGGTCCCACTCACTTCTCACAGTTCTTTTGGCCAACTGAGGCAAGGTTTCCTCTCAAGTAGAGGTCAGTCTAGCTACTCTGAGAGTTGTGTGAGAGCCAGTCCTAACGGGATTACCCAAATACCTAAAAGATTCACTCAAAACATGGCATCTGGATGAAAACAAGAGCATTTAATTTCGTTGCTCCCCTCACCAAAACCACCCACCCCCGCTGACTCAAGGCCCTTCTCAGAGGTAGTGAGTCCAGGAGCCTCGAGCGCCCTCTGGAGGCGAGAGTGTGCCACTGCTGTAAACTGCTCTCTACCCTATCGTCAACGATACTTTTACTCCTCAAATAAAATCCACAGATAATATAATCTACCTGTCTGCATAATGCTAAAACAGTTAGTATAATGCACAAACTATAACACATAAAGGGGAAATAAAGGAAAACAGTTAATAATAGAATAAGGTGTATTTCAGTGCTTAGGTGGATAGATAGAACCACAGGAAGACATAAGGGAGGGGTTGTTGCTTACACCGTGGTGTAGAATTACTGTGAATATGTCAGTTCAGATGTTGACTGATACAAATGTGACCTTTTGGCAACTCATGTGTCAGGAGCTCAGTTGCTGTTGATACAATTTTATAAATAACAAGTCTTTTTTTTTTTTTAAAGATTTTATTTATTTATTTGACAGAGAGAGACACAGCGAGAGAGGGAACACAAGCAGGGGGAGTGGGAGAGGGAGAAGCAGGCTTCCCGCCGAGCAGGGAGCCCGATGCGGGGCTCGATCCCAGGACCCTGGGATCGTGACCTGAGCCGAAGGCAGACGCTTAACGACTGAGCCACCCAGGTGCCCACAAATAAGTCTTGATAGCATTCCAAATGAAACAAAGTGCAGTCATCCCTCAATTTACACGACTCACTATACTATATGGATAATTGACACAATTAGCAAATTATGTATACCTTGAGAAAAATACCCTGGATTTTTATGTAAATAGGAATTCAGTTCTCGGTTCAAATATAATTGTAAGCAGGATTTGTGCACACATGAGTGCTCCCCTGGACATTCCACAGGATGATTCCCCATTCTGTGGAAATTTCCATGCAATGCAGGACATCTAGCATCCCCAGCCCCCATCTATGGAGGTCATGTCCCTTCTGTCAGTCATGTGCCCTCTGTCACTGTGATTACCAAAAGGCCTCCCTGCAGCTAGCCAAACATCCCCCACTGGGGGCCTACCCAGAAGGTAGGAAGTATGCCTTAATCTCTTAAATAGCTTCTCTCCTAGTGGAGTGTTATGTATAGAGGAGGATTCAATGAGTAGTTGTGGACTGAAGGAAGAATTGACTTCGTACTGAACAGAGATGCAAAGCGACAAAACAGTTATTACCTTCTTTCAAAACCAATTTGATACGGAATTTGACAGTGACAACGAGGGTAGGCAGATTAAAGATGTCCATGTCTGAATTCCCAGAACCACTGAACGTTTTATGTTACGTGGCAAGATGCATGAAGGCTGCAGAGAGCATTGTAAGTTGCTCATTGACAGACCTCACAGAGATTAGTCTGGATTATCCAGGTCGGCTCAAGAGTAATAACAAGGGTCCTTTAAACGTGGAAGAAGGAAGCAGAGGGTCGGGTTTTGAAGGCTTTGAGGTGGAGAAAGGGGCCATGAGCCAAAGGATGCAGGCAGCTTCTAGAAGCTGGAAAAGGCAAGGAAACTGATTCTCCTCTGGAGCCTCCAGAAAGAAGCAGCCCCATGGACACCTTGGCTTTAGCCTGGTGAAATCTGCTTCAGACCCTGATTTCCAGTGTTGTAAGATACTAATTTGTGCTGGTGAAGCCACCACATCTGAGCTCATTTGTCACAGCAGCAATAGGGAAATAACCGAATGACTTAAAGGTCTTAAAACATTTATGCACGGGACTCCTCTCTCTATTTCCAGCTCTAGAAGGCAGCCGTCTTGCTCCACATACAAGCGCCTCTCAAGTACATGTCCTCTTGCTGGTACTATGATTTAGGCTGCTTGGTGCCAACCGAGAGATAAGGACAGGATTCCTCGTAGAGTTCCAGGATATTCTACCCTTTACTTGGCTCAGATTAATTCTTTACCCTGGGCATCCGGAAGAGCAAAATTTTCCAAATTGTTGTGTGATACTTTTTCTGCCTTTCTCTATATTGTGAATGCATGATTATGAGTGCAACATAAATCCAATGCTTTAGTCTTTTGAAACAGACTGTATTCTATTAACTACAATTATAATTAAGCAGGAAGTATGGAAATACATTTGTTTTCCAAAAGAAAAAAAACCTGTATTTTTTTTATTGCTTATCATTTATGTATTATAACATTTACTCTTATAAAGTGTACAATTTGGTATACTTTAGTCTATTCATAAGGCTGTTCAACCATCACCACTGCCCAATTCTAGAACATTTCTATTGTGCCAGAAAAATGCCCCATACCCATCAGGAATCACTCTCTCCTTCCCTCACCTACCAACCCCTGATAACCACTAATCTACTTTCTGTTTCTATGGATCTGCTTATTCTGGGTATTTCATATAAATGGAGTCATACAATACGTGGCCTTTCATGTCTGGCTGAGGTTCTTTATTTCTTCATGTGGACTGAAGCAATTGTCTCGTGTTCTTTTCATTTCAGCTCGAAGAATCCCTTTAGTATTTCTTATGGGTCACATTTATTATTGTTGATAATTGTTGTCTTTTTGCTTAATGACTTTTTCTAACTAATCCTGTAAAATCTTTTTCTTTGTCATATGTGGACACTGAAGTCTCTGCTTGGTTGCTGAATGATTAGTTAAAGATTGGGCAGAGATTCCTTGTATGTCTCCCAATGTTTGTTGAGGGGCCCTGTGTATGGGTTAGGGCACATCTTCTACATGCAACCAGGAAGTTTACAATTCTGCTTAGGCTTAACTTTCTGCTTGTACAGAGCCTGAGGATAAGCCACTGGTGAGACCTTCGGGCCTCCTGAGGTCTTTTCAGGGCATGCACACAGTCCTGGGCATGGATGTAGTCGAATGCATGTCTATAGCTTTCTAGATTCCCAGAAATATGTTAGAACTTAAGCCCAGTGGACATCTCATTCTCCCAGATTTTCCTTTTCAGCTTTTTTAGTTAGCCTGTTGTTTACCCAAACTCTTTTCTTTAAAGATTTTATTTATTTATGAGAGAGAGAGACAGAGAGAACATGAGCAGGGGTGAGGGGCAGAGGGGGAGGGAGAGGAAGAAGCAGATTCCCTGCAGACTCCCTGCTGGGCACGAAGCCTGGCTCCATGCAGGACTCGATCCCAGGACCCTGAGATCATGACCTGAGCCAAGGTCAGACACTTAACTGACGGAGCCACCCAGGCGCCCCTGTTTAACCAAACTCTTACCCGCCACCGTGGTCGGCTGTCATCTTAAATAATTGCTTTTCATTGTTTTTGACAAATGCTCCCAGGTAAAAGGCCTGTCCACTAGGTGAGTTCAAAATCAGGTCGAATAAGTGCACCTTGCAAGTGGGGTCGCTCAGAGAACATCAAAGAAGTCAAATAATGGCAGTTCTCTGGGAATTAGATTTTGAAAGGGCTCCAACTCTGTTCTGCTCACTACAGCTGCTAGAATGTTCATTTTCCTGGGACTATGGGCTCTTCATTTTCGAAGATACCATGGAGTTGAGGGGGTTGGAGGGATGAAGCAAGTTAAAAAGCCACAAAATCCACTCTTCTTACCCAGATTTAGTCATTTTTCCAAGATAAACACTCCCCAGATTTCTGTAAGACTTGAATTTCTGGAATTCTGAAAAAGTTATTTTGATTTTTTTTTTTTTTTGCCAGTTTTCTCATTGCTGTTATGGAGGAGAGAGTTTTCATAAGCCCTTCTGCCATTTTCCACCAAGACGACTTTTTAAAAGTCTCTCTAGGGTGACTACTAATCCCTATGAAAGTCTCTCCCAATTAATTTTTTAATTTGTTCTTACAATATAGAAATTCCCATTTTTCAAGCCCTCACCCTCTTCTGCAAAATGATCTGGAAATTGCCTGCCCTTTCCTCATGCCAGAGTTATGGATCTGCTTGCCTTTGAGAGCTGACAGATCATCATGTAAATTACTTTCTTTTCTTCTTTTCCATTTAGGATTTTGGCTCTTCAGGAAAACTTCCTTCTCCAATTTAAAATGGATGTAAGTAGTGACATTTCTCTAGGTGGGCTTGTGTCATTCATGTCTCTCCATAAATTCGAGAGGGAGGGAAGAAAGGAAGGCATCTGTTTGTCTCACTGTAATTTATCTAGAGACCGGCAAGGCTCACTGTTGGAATCAAGGGATTAGGGTCATTGACTTAAAAAAAAAAAACAACATAAAAGTTTATAAAAGTTGTCTATAACCCTGGAAGAATTGTACATCAGAAGCATCCCAATGCTGGACTGACATACTGTTTTCTCCACACACAGGCTTGTTCCACTGAAGAAAGAAAGAGGGACTTTGAGAAAATCTTTGCCCACTATGATGTTGTAAGTGTGTCTCTTTGGATTGTGCTGGCTACTTTTAGGGAGCAAGCTTGTTTAGCCCCTATGTGGGGTCATCCTACCCACAGACCCTAAACTGATAATGATGAATAGCAGTCCCACATGTATGCTGGTAGGTCATACCCTCAGCTTCTCCATGTGAACTTCTGAAAACTACGTTAAAATGGACAAAGGAGAATTTATGGTTGAGAAGAGAATAAAATCATGTTTCTTTTCCCTCTGGCTCTAAACTGGGAGAAAGTTTCTCCTTCTTGATCTCCGTCTAGAAAAGTATGCTTGAAAACAAAAGCAAACAATCAAGTTAAAAACCACATCCAACCCAAAGAAATAGAGGCAAAGCGAGCCCTGGTTGACATAAAAACTACTTTTCTTGTAGGATTGATTGATTATGTGGTCCTGCTTCAGAGAGGAGAAAATAATAATTCTAAAGCACAAAGTATGGCAAGGAAATTGCATTTCTTGAAGACAAGGTAGGGTAATGCAAGAAGGAAGAAAAATGAGAAAGTTAGGAAAAGTCAAAAGAGATGCCGTCCTGAAACTCAACAGACTGGACATCTGAGTGTGTCACATTCTGAGCAGAAAGGAGCATCACCTGGGAGAGGCAGCTCAGCAAAGTGTTGCTGTGTGACCCATCGCCTGTGTTTGAATCATGCTTCGTTAGCCACGTGACCTTGGGCAGGTTCCTTAACCTCCCTGTGCCTCGTTTCCCTTACCTGTAAAGTTAGGGTGACGAGGATAATAATAATAATAACTACCCCATGGAATTGGTGTGAGAATTCAGTGATTTCATGTGTGTAAAGCTCTTAGAAGGGTGCCTGGCAGGTAGTGTTCAGTAAATACACTAATTTTTTTTTAAAAAATGGATTTTTTAAAAATGATACGTTAAAGCTTCAGGGTGAAGAAAACTTGAAAAGATGGATGGATGAGTTGTCATGACTGGGACTTTAGAGAAGAAACTGAAATATTTTAATATGTATCGCATTTTATAGACATTCTTATAGAATGAGTAGGGAAAAAATAAGGGTTTGTGTGCAGACCAAATAATAATTCTAATATACTCACTCCATCTAGTCACTCCTGATTTAAAACTTTAATAATCATCAAGTCCTCGCTAAATCATAAAGCACAATAAAAAACAATGTCAGCCTATATTCTTCCAAGGACCAATACGATGTGCAAATAACACTTATCTGAACAGAAGCCAGGTATTTGGGAAGCAAATGAGGTCGGTATATATCATGTTAATGAGATTTGCAAGAGCCAAGGAACTCCCATTTGTTTACGTGGGGGTCGTTACGTACAATTAATTATTGTCATGTCTGTGGAACGTGCACTTTCTGCACAGAGGACGTCACCGCAACGTGCCGTTTCCGAACATCTTTGCAACCACAGAAGAATACTGATTTGCACAATTCACCTAATTTATTCTTTAGCCTTCTGGCTTAAGAAAATGATGTTTGACTGACAGGCTCTTTCTTGTCTATTTCAGAGTAGAACAGGAGCTCTGGAAGGCCCGGAAGTGGACGGGTTTGTCAAGGACATGATGGAGCTTGTCCAGGTGATGTCACGGGGCCGTAGAGATTTCGCTCCTCGTGGGTCAGGGATGCCATTGTGACTGATTCCACTGTTTACTTCTGAGAATCCGTGGGGCTGACGATTAATGCCAGAGACTAAATCTAGGGACACAGTCGATTTAACAACTACTGAGCCTCTGTGAGAACTGACATGTCTCCCTTTCTCTCTTAAGATCATTTGACCCCATAGCAGCTTCTTGTTTCCATCCTATAAAACCCTCTCTTTTACCAGAAGAGCACAGTTCTGCTCATTTTTTGGTTACAGAAAGGCCTTTCTACACCTGGACTTGGTTATTAGAATACCTAAAACTTTTAATTTAATTTCATGAAATAAATCCCATATTTGAGATTTTTTCCCCCCCTTGAGGGGCTGCTTTAACACCTGACCTAAAATCCTGGTTACTTATCTATCAAGACATTGCTGCGACTCGAAGTGATAGGATTTCAATTATAATCTACATCACAAGCGATCTCCTTTGAGATCCTGGTGCACTGTAGTAACTGGCTGCCTGATCTGGTTAAGCAGACGCGTGGCAACTCTTCCTTTTCTCTGGGACTGTCTAGCCGCTGAATTTAGTACATTCATATCCTTAGAGATTTTTTGAGGTTTATACAGGACATGATGAATCTGTCCTGATAGGCCCAAATGGCAACAAATTAGAGTAGCAATTGTTAACTGGTTTTAGAATCCCAGACCTGCTTGAAAACCTGATTAAAACTATGGAGTTTGGGGGGCACACGGGGGGTTAAGCGTCAACTCCTGATTTCGACTCAGGTCATGATCTTGGGGTCGTGAGAGCGAGCCCCGTGTTGGGCTCTGCACTGAGCATGGAGCCTGCTTGTGATTCTCTCTCTCCCTCTGCCTCTGCCCCTTCTCCCGTCCCTGCTCGAGCACTCTCTCTCTCTATCTCTCTTTCTCTAACAACAACAACAACAACAAAACTATGGAGTTTTGCAGCAGAAAACTTCCCCCAATTTACCAACTTTTGCACAAATCTCCAGGAAGTTCACATTCTGTGACTGAGCGGGCATGGACGCTGGTCAGGATGACTGGTGTGTTCTTTGCCTCCTCACTTGCGTTGTTCCCATCCCAGCTGGTCCCCTGCCTCTTCTTTGGTTCCTTCACGGGTGCCCCTGTTGGAGACTCCACCAGCATCTGTGCAGCGGATGGGTCCAGGTGTGGTGGTACTTTCTGCATTGATTGCTAAAGGAAAGTCCCACTGTATTTACTATTTCATGCCAGAATGATTTCCGTAATAGAAACTGAGCAGTTATCTAGAGGACATTAAAATCGCATGTTGGTAGGCTTGGCCAAACCGCAGTTTTAATTTGCCTTTGATAGAAAGCATGGGATGGGGGGCGCTGCTTCTCAGAGCAGTGTGTGGCCTCCTCTGAGCCACGGAGCTCGGGCTGCCGACTGCCCAAGTCCACAGCCCAGGGTGCTGCACATACCTCCAGACCCTTTCAGGTGTCATTGAGCTTGGCAACGGCTTCCACAAGTTACTGGGAGATAGGGAAGGAAAACCTAAACCAGCCACAGAGTAGAGAAAACATTTTCCCAGAGGAAATTAAAGAGAAGGGGGAAATTCTAGGCCATCCAAAAACATGCGTTTGCCTCACTCTTTGATAGATTTGTATCACCTCCATGGGAAACCGGAGGAGCCCCCATCACTCTTGTCCTTGCCCGTCTATTTCAGTGGGGCTTCTGGCTCAACAAAAAGGTACCTCTCAATATAAGTACGAGCCAAGTGAAGAGAGCCGGTTTCCAAGGACTGAGTGAGGCTGGGCTCAGTAGTAGAAAAGCAGTTGACCAGGGCTGGTTTATTGAGCTAAAAAGTACTTAAAAAGTAGTTAATTATTAATGTTCTCCTCTGAAGCCAGATCATTGAGGTGCAAACCTGTATTGGATCTTTCCCAGTCTTCGGGGTTGCTTAAAAAAACTATTCACCATATAATTTGAAGGATGTTGTCAAGGGAAAATCTTTGAGTAAATTCTGATATTTCTCAGGTTCATAAACTACAGTCCTCTCTTGCAATTTTAAAATTTTCATTTTATTAGAAAGGACGATGGGACAAGTCAACAAACCAATATCTGGATTTTTTTAAAAGATTTTATTTACTTACTTGAGAGAGAGGGAGAAAGCACAAGCAGAGGGAGTGGCAGGCAGAGGGAGAAGCAGACTCCCTGCTGAGCAGGGAGCCCGATGCAGGGCTTGGTCCCAGGACCCTGAGATCATGACCCGAGGCAAAGGCAGATCCTTAACCGACTGAGCCACCCAGGCGCCCCTGGAATTTATTTTAAAAGCAATTATCAGAGCATGTCATGAGGTCAGCTGGGAGCTGGCTCAGTTTCTCAGTGGAGAGTCCTGGTCAGGATTCCTGACGTTTGCTATAATGACCCTGAAAAAAACTTACTTTATAGCCTTTTATTCCTGTACAACTATGGATGATACATACGTTGAATCTGTATTAACAGATTATTTGGTTACCAGAACATCCCTTTCCCTGATCTCTGGAAAAAGGCGCCCAAGGCTGTCCTCTGTCAGTATGTTGAGATCAGACAAAATAATTTCTGCACAATTTTTATAAAGAGTCCGTAGGCCCCTTGGCACAGCACGAAAATCAACACGAGAATCCACAGCTTAAAGTAGAAAGTAGTAAGGCAAAACATTTAAGATGCCCAGCACCCCACACCAAGGAGTAGAACTGTGGATTGTGGATGGTAATGTGGGAAGCCAAACAGATGGGATACCAGAGATGCCCAGGATGTCTGCCTGGAAGTGAAGAGAGTTCCTGCTCCCAGTCTCCCCAGAATTCATTCTTTTTCCTGCTAGACACCGCTTCTGCTTTTCTCTGTTGTTGACAAGGAGATGATTAGCAAGAGGGGACAATACTTAACCTAAAGGATTGAATCTAATATGTGATCCTCCAAGGAGCTGCTAGCCCTTAGCATGCATGTTACCGTTTCTTTTCATTTTTTAAATCATAAAAATGATACATACATCATAGAGAAATTTGAGAGTAAAGGAAAGAAGAGACAGAAGAGTCATCTCTAACCTCGAGTAGACCTTCTATTAGCAGACTTTGTTTCTGGGTAGATTCTGCATCGGTGACCTCCACTGATAAGCATTTCCCAGTCCCAGTCATTGTGTTAGTGTCTGTATAAGATTTTACCTGTGGTTAGATATCCCTTACCTACGCATTCCTCTTTTGCTAGTAATTTATTTTTTTTTAAAGATTTTATTTATTTATTTATTTTTTAAATAATCTCTACACCCAACGTGGGGCTCCTCTTTTGCTAGTTTTGTGACTCCAAGTAAAGGCAGGGCCTTGGGGTCTTGTTGCCGACTCTAGCATGGAGATCTGGGGAATGCTGGTAATGACTTATCTGGGGAGAAGCTTTGGATATTCGCTTTCGCTGTTTTAGGAGAGATGGAACGTACAGAAAAGGGAGGGCACATGACGAAAACATGAACACTGCATTTGGAGACATTCACTAATTCCATGGATGTAATTGAGCACTTAGCATGGGCAAGCACAAGGAGATATATCCAGCCCCAAAGGTTCCCCTAGTTCCAGGATTCAAGTGGGGGCTGATAAGCATTTTTCAGCCAGCTACCCCAGATCCACTCTCACACTTTCCTATGAGATGGATAAGAAATACAAAATGCATTTTTGCATGGGCGGCTATGATACAGTGTACTGTTAAAGAGATGTGCTTTGGGGCCTGCCCGCCCGAGTTTGTATCTGGTTCTGACGTGTACCAGCTGTGCGACAGTGGGAAGGTTAATTAACCTCTCTGTGCTTTAGTTTTCTCATCTGTCAATTAAAAGTTGATAGTAGATACAACCTCATCAGGTTGTTCTGAAGATTAGAATTAATCTGTGTAGAACCCTTAGATCTGGGACCTATGGGCACTTATAATGGTGACTTGTTATTAAAACTGAGGCCCCCAGTGATCTCAGGTGATTTGTCTTCCATGATCCAAATATTACTGAACAGTGGCATTTAGGTCTCCTGACTCCCAGTGAGTTGTCGAACATTAAAAGCATAACTCTGAAAGTCCAAAGAAACTCCCCTTACATACACTCACATTCATACCCTCCTCCCAATACACACTCACACACTCACAAAATAAGGAAATAATTCCTTTTGCAGGAAACAAATTCAAAAAAAAAAAAAAAAGCTTAGAATAGCTTAAATGAGGTAAATTCACTGGCAAATTAATTCATGCTAATGTGTAAATGACTACCACCTGAGTCTTTTCTAAGCATGGGAATTTGCTAAGAGGATCCTGGGGCAGAATGCTGCTAACTGGACAAAGGATGCGGCAGGAGTGTTGAGGATGCTGGTAACCAAAGGTCCCCACTTTGCAACTGTACAAGAAATGGACTCCCGATATGGAGCCATGGAGTGTAGCTTGCTGTTCTCAGGACTTCTAAGCCATTTCCTGGACCACACCTATACCTGCCTGTCTGACACCCAAGGAAGTATCCTGGGTAAGCCCCGACAAGGAGGACATACTGACAGTGTGTCCTCTTAGTCTAATTACTGACGCACCCTCCATCAGAGAGTGCCGTTGGCCGCAGATTCATGTCCTGATGTCCCCTGCAGTCTTGCCCCACGTTGGAGGTTACTGTTGCTGTGCTATCTAGCTCCCAGGTCCTGTTGCTCTCTGCCCTCCATCCTTCCCTCCATGAAAACCTGGGATAACGGATAGACTTGGTGTCACTCAGCTATCCTGTGGGACAGTGCAGGTTAGCTCGTCTTAATTCAGCTGTCTAGTTGAAGAATGAAAGGCTTTGTTTCCTACTCAAGGTTTTTGGAGATTTCTTCGGCAGCAAGGTAGCCCTGGCGTGGGCTGGGCGACGGGGAGAGCTTCCCCGGCTCCTAAAGCAAACACTGCACATGGCCTCCTCCTCTGCTTGTGGGTGAGACTAGCTCAGTAATCAAGGGGTTTGGAATCTGATGAGCTGGGTTTCCTTTCTCTGTGGACCTGGACTTTTTCATCTAGACCCCGAGCCTTCACACGGCCGGTCAGACCGCCGCCTCTCCAGCACAGTGGTGTGAACTGGGGGGGTGAGAGCACTTACTTCATTGGAGGCAGAAGACTCAGGAGCAGAAATGCTGTTGCAGTTCCCTAGCTTGGTAGGATGGTTCAGCTCTGAGCGTCCGTGTCCTAATCTGTGAGCCTGGGTTACCCAAGGTTATCATGGGCATTAAATAGCCTGTGGAGAATCACTCAGTTCACGCAATTGCTCGCTTTTGCAGGCCTTTTGAGTTTGATGTTCTTTTCCCAACTGGTGCGTATCACAGTTACTTCCTAGCCCCTAAAATATCCCTTGGAATAAATCCAACATCTGCAGCTCAGGGACATACTGTTCTAGTTTGATTTTCATTCATTATAACCCTTTTTAAAATTAGAGGCACATGGGGCGCCTGGGTGGCTCAGGTTAAGCTTCTACCTTTGGCTCAGGTCATGATCCCAGGGTCCCGGAATCGAGCCCCGCATCGGGCTCCCTGCTTGGTGGGGAGTCTGCTTCTCCCTCTCCCTCTGCTCATCCTCTCTCTCAAATAAATTAATAAAATATTAAAATAATAAAATAATAAAATAAAATAAAATAAAATAAAATAAAATTAGAGGCACAAAAACCTCCCACCAGGAGAGAGTAAAATGGGTGTTCTCTGTGGGTCTGTGTGGCAAGGCAGGATCTGCAGCAACAATCCCCTGCTCTGAGGCAAATATCTCTATCACGACGAGGAGCTGGAATCACGGGGCACGGCCTGTCCCCACGGAGCCCCCCTCAGCAGGCAGGGGGTCCCTGCATGTAGTGAGCGTGGGGCGGGGCGGGGCTGGCATGAAAGGCTGGGGCTGCCACTGGCTGGCCCACTGACATGTGATCTTCACTGTCCTCAGCCCAGCATCAGCGGAGTGGACCTTGATAAGTTCCGGGAGATTCTTTTGCGCCACTGTGATGTGAACAAGGATGGAAAAATTCAGAAGTCCGAGCTGGCTTTGTGTCTTGGGCTGAAAATCAATCCCTAATCCCCAGAACGCTTTGCCTTTTGCTGTTTGGATGTTTCTGTGCTCCAGCTGCTTAAGCTCCCTGTGCTTTGCTGTTGGGACACATGGGCAGACTTCCTAACCACCCGGGCGGTATCCTTGGGCTGGGGGCGGGGGTGGGGGGCGAGGGCTTTCTTGCTAAGGGCATGGTGTTCTCCCGCCTCGCTGAAAGCATCCCCCCACCCCCATGCAGTACCTGTGTTATCCATCCTCCCCCCATCCTGGGCTTTCCCGTCCCCCCCACAGAACCAGCGAGCCCGCTGGATCTGCTCTGCTTGCCCTCCTGCAGTCACCAGGGAGGCAGGGAGCGGAGTCCATCTGTCTGTGCTCCCTTGTGGGCGAGTCTGGCATCCTGTGACCTCTACAAATCGATTTTGTCATGGAAATAAACCTGTAGCTGGAAACAAAGACACGCTGGTCCTTGTTTTTGTGTTGTGATCTTTGCAATGTTCTGCAGGGTGGTTCTCTGACTTGGGGTGGGTGTGATGAGGAGGACGGAGACGGGCAAGATCCGAATGGATTTCACACCTGCTGCTTCCTTCCATAGTTCGCAGAAGCCCTGGTCGGTGACTTTGCCAATAATCCCTTTGTATTCATTGCACGGAGACCAGAACACTCGACATGGGCTGGGTTTTGCTCTTAAGTGCTCTGTAATCTCACATGGTCAGGAAGGTAGGAATACAGGAGAAAATTCGGAGAAAATGCTTCCCAGGTTATCCATGTGTCTGTTCCCCACTCTGTTCCTTCCCTGTCCACCAGTGTCCTCTAGCAAATCTTTGACATCCAAGTCTCACTGGATGCCCCCGAGTGTCTGGGCCCCTCTGCAGGTTGCAGGCTCCCCCTCAGACCCCTGCTTCCTTCACTCCTGGGCTCTGACACAGTCCCCACATCGGGGGGGGGGGTGCTGCTTCTCCTGGGGCAAGCCTCACTCTCTCTTACCATCCTGACACTTTGTTTCTTAAAACATCCCTACCTTACACCCAACAATGCAGGAATTTCAGGTTTGATATGATGCTTTAGGTAATTCAGAAAAATTGTAGTATAGAATGGTATATTCAGAGCCATTCATAACCCAAGAAATTCCATCGTTCACAGGGTTCCCCTCAATGGCAGACCCTGGCCCTAACCGGGTTCCTATCCCCTCAGGTGTCCCTTACATCAAATATACAAATAATTAATATCAATAACTACCATCAAGTGCTTTCTATGTGCTAGGTACTTCTAGGTGCTTCCCACACTTCAAACCATGTAATCCTCACTGAAACCCCGTGTGGTAGGTACTCTCATGACCAATCTTAGAGATGAAGACACTGCGGCAGATGGTAAGCTGTATGGGCTTGGACATCTCAGAAGTGGGGAGTCGTGGACTTCATTATGGCCCATTTCATGCACCTTTCAGGAAAACATGGCCCCTCCCACAGGTTGGGTCTCACTGTGGGATCCACCGCCATCCCCAGCAGGACATTTCTCCAAGTCTGGGTCACTCAGTCTGGGGCAACGCTTGATGGGAGCCCAAAGAGAGCCCAGGGGGCAGCATGGGGCCAGACAAGCATGCGAACCCCTTCTCACCATGCAGATGTTGAGGGTGCCACATACACGTGCACCCTTCAAAGAACAAACTTTGGTTTTCAGAGTTGAGACAGTCCAAACCGACAGGAAGGGTGGAAGAATATGTATCTCCAGAATTTCACATTATTCTGCAGAATCTCGGCTCCTCCTCTGAATCCCCTGAGTTTTTAAATTTAAACCATAGCAGAAGTCTTTTATTTTAATGCAGTTGGACCTACTTTACATTTACTTATTGCAATGCAGCTTCTGTTTGGTTTGAGACATCCAGTTTTTAGGGTCAAAAATGCATTCTGTTCTGCTACCATTTTTTTTAAAGCTCTTTAAAAAATTTTTACATATATATTTTTTGGTTATGTGTAGATATAAAATATACATATAAATTTTGGTTATATATATATATGAGATAAAATTTGCCATTTTAACCATTTTAGGTGTGTCATTCCATGGTATTAATTACATCCACAATCTTATGCAACTATCAACACTATCTATGTACAAAACCTACTCATTGCTGCAAACAAAACCTCTGAACCCATTAAGAACATAATTCTCCATCCCCTCTATCCCTAGCCTCTGGTAACCTTTCGTCTACTTTTTGTCTCTATGAATTTGCCTCTTCTAGATATTTCACAAAACTTGAATCATAAAATGTTTGTCCCTCTGTGTCTGGTTTATTTCACTCAGCATGTTTTCAAGATTCATCTGTGTCGTAGCAGGTATTAGGACTTGTTCTCTCCTTATGGATGAATAATATTCCTCCATATGGATATTCCGCATGTAGTTTATCCACTCATCTGTTGATGGATACTTGCTTTGTTTCCACCTTTTGCTTACTGTGAATAATAGTGCAGTAAACACTGCCACGCAAGTATCTCAGTCCCTGTTTTCAATTCTTTTGTGTCTATACCCAGGGTTGGAACTGCTGGGTCTCATGGTAAGTCTATGTTTATCTGTTTGAGGAACTGCCAAACCAGCCTCCACGTGACGGCGCCATTTTACATTCCCACCAGCCATACATAAGGGTTCCAATTTTAATCTTCTGCTTCTAAATAGAGCCCTTTCTAGAATTGACCAAAGTAGAAACTAGATCCAAACTTGTCCTATATCCACTTAATTCATGAATCCTCTTTTAGCTACATGAAGAGAAAGTTTGAGCTTACTGCTCTAGCAAGAGCCATATAAATTCTTAGCCAAGGGTCTTTATCCTCCTCGGTGTCTATCTGAAGATGACTGAGGTGGCGATGGGTAGGGAAGAGAAGTTTTATTCTTTTAAGAGTAATGTTTTCAGATCCACTGAGGGCAGCTACTTGCCCTGAACACCAGGAAGCTTTTAGTTATAAGATATAGCTAAGACTCTATCAGAATCTCCCAGGCTGGGGCACCCGGGTGGCTCACTCAGTTAAGTATCTGACTCTTTGTTCGGCTCAGACCATGATCTCATGAGTCATGAGATTGAGCCCCACATCCAGCTCTGTACTCAGCCAGGGGTCTGCTTGAGATTCTCTCTCTCTCTCTCTTTTTTTTTTTTTTAAGATTTTATTTATTTATTTGTCAGAGAGAGAGAGGACAAGCAGGGAGAATGGCAGGCAGAGGGAGAAGCAGGCTCCAGATTTGGTGTCTGGTCCACTTCCTGGTCCATAGATGGCTGTTTTTCACTGTGTCCTCACATGCTGGAAAGGGTGAAGGAGTTCTCTGGGGTCTCTTTCATAGGGCACTAATCCCATTCATGAGGGCTCCACCCTATGTTTATCTTTTCCCAAAGGCCCTACTTCCAAATACCAACACACTGGGGATTAAGTTTCAACACAGGAATTTTGGAGGAACACAAACATTCAGTCTATAGCAATGGCCAAGAAAGATAAATGGCCTTACGCCTCTGTTGTGAAACCAAAGGGGAACAGGATACTGAAGAAGGGGCTGCCAAAGGGCAGAAGTCTCTCATCAGAGCCCATGTTGTATAGATTTGATGGGTGGGGGAAAAGTATGGGGGTGGCACCCCGAAAGTTGTCTCCTTGCCAAAGATGTTTGCTTATTCATTCCAAATCAAAAATGAAGAAGTAAAATTGTCTCTGTAGATGACATGCTCTTATAGATAGAAAATCCTAAAGACCCCACTAAAAAACTGTTAGAACTAATAAACAAATTCAGTAAAGTTGCAGGATACAAAATCAATATACAAAAGTTAGTTGCATTTTTATACATTAACAATGAAATATCTGAAAAAGAAATAAATAAAACAATCTCATTTTCCATAGCATCAAAAACCATTAAATACTTAGGAATAAATTTTACAAGAGGTGAAAGATCTATACACTGAAAACTATAAGACTAGTAAAAGAAATTGAAAAAGACACAAATAAATGGAAAAACATCCAGTGTTCATGGATTGGAAGAATTAATATTGTTAAACTGTCTGTACGACCAAGGTAATGTATAGATCCACTACAGTCCTTGTCAAAACTCCAATGGCATTTTTCAGAGAAATAGCAAAAACAATACTAAAAATCGTATGGAACCACAAAAGACCCTGAGTAGCTAAAGCAATTAGTTGAGAAAAAATAAAGCTGGGAGCATCACACTTTCTGATTTCAGGCTATCTTACAAAGCTACTGTAATCAAAACAGTATGGGTACTGGCACAAAAACAGACACAAAGATCAGTGGCACAGAATAGAGAGCCCAGCAATGAACCCTTACATATACATTCAACTAATATTTGACAAGGGAACCAAAAATACTCAATGAAGATAAGATAGTCTCTTCAATAATGGTGCTGGGGAAACTGGATAGTGACATGCACTAGAACAAAATAGGATCCTTATCTTACAAACTCACAAAAATTAATTTGAAATGAATTATAGACTTAAACGTAAGCCTGAAACCACAAAGCTGGGGGCGGGGGGAGATGGAAAAAGCTCCTTGCCATTGCTCTTGGCAACCGGTTTTTTTTTTTTTTGGCTATGACATCAAAAGCCAAGCAATAAAAGCAAAAATCAGTAAGCAGGACTACATCAAAGCAAAAGCGTCTGCATAGCAGAAGAAACAATTAGCAAAATGAACAGCAACATATGGAATGAGAGAAAACATTTGCAGACCATCTATCCGATAAAGGGTTAATGTCCAGAATATATAAGGAACTCATACAACTAACTCAACAGCAAAAAACAAACAGTCTTATTAAAAAATGGGCAGAAGACCTGAATAGAGATTTTTTTCTAAAGAAGACATACAAATGGCCAACAGGTACATGAAAAGATGTTTAACATCACTAATCATCAAGGAAATGCAAATCAAAACGACAATCAGGTATCTCCTCACACCTGTTAGACTGGTCATTACCCAAAAGGCAAGAGGTAGAGAGTGTGGGTGAGGATGTGGAAGAAAGGAAGCCCTCGTGCACTGCGGGGAATGTGAGTAGGGACAGCTACTGTGGAAGCTGGTATGGAGGTTCCTCAAGGAAGTAAAAATAGAACTACCATCTGATCCAGCAATCCCACTTCTGGGCATATATACAGAGGAAATGAAATCAGGGAATCAAAGAGATATATATCTTTCCATGTTCAGTACAGCATTATTCATATTAGCCATGATACAGAAACCACCTGAGTGCCCATCAGTGGATGAATGGCTGAAGAAGATGTATACACACACACACATATACGTGTGTATATATATGATGGAAAATTATCCAGCCATGAGAAAGAGGTAAATCTTGCCATTTGAGATGACATGGATGGACCTTGAGTGCATTACTCTCAG